CGAAGATAAAGACCGAGAGGACGCAAAACGTGTATGCGCTCTCTCGCCCTGTGTATGTGTGTGCCGTTAAGATAACCGCAGTTTACGTGGCGGGAATTATTTATCGCCTCGCGTCGCACTGTCGTCTGTTCGGAAGTTTCCCAGGTACGGCTCGCGTGCGGCCGTAAAGTTTTCCCCGCATCTAATGTTATTTTGGCGAATTTTTCCGGAACTCTACGTAGATAGAACAAACGTAGGTTCCATCTACGTTTCGCGAATAACGAAACGGATGCACGCGCGTGGAGCGCGAGAGGAGCGTGAAATGTATTCTGTAAGACAAGCAAGTCGGGCGTGTTTGCATTTCGGCTTGAAATTCCTGAGTGAGATTTCGCGGGTTGAATAATGACCGTGTTTTCATAACACTTCAAAGGCGATCTCGCATTATAAGAATTTAACAGCGCAGCCAGAATTCAAGAAACAATGAAGGGACTGAAGCGCGCGGGTTCTTTCCGGCGAATTTTGCGCGGGGTAGCGAAAAGTAGGATGCCCCGACATGCGTTTATCAGTTGTTGGGAGGATAAATTGTTAAAAACACAATTACTCGCACCGTCCCAATTACTTGAGCAGTGAATATATCCGAGGTGGCGCAAAGCCGGAAATTCTTCTCGATGGAAATTCCTCCCGCGATCAAGTACTAGCGGCGGTCAGTAAGACTATCGCGAACCATGAGCGCTTCGAGTTTCGTGCCGCTCTTAAAGAAGTTGATTGTTCTTCAATATCTCAAAGTATGCGCGAAGCGAAACTGCTTGCACAATCTGCGCCTGATGTTAAAAGGAAGAAAAAGAATCGCCGACTTGGAATGTTTAATCGAACGTCTAACTGGCGTTCTCGCGAGTAAGGTAAATTTGCGGGTCGACAAACGACGATTCGACGTCCTCTCGATGAATAATTCTTTGCGATATTTGCTGCAAAAAACGCTCGCGTTTAAAGCTCCTGGTGCCATTGCCGCGGAGCCCTGGATTGATGACGTCAGAGGCGAGAAAATTCACGGTAATAATTCTTGCATGTCATTCTCAAATACAAAAATACCTGTACAAAAGAAACACTCGAGATCGTCTGAGCGATCTGTAGAATAATATGAAAACCATCTGTTTCCCTTGACAGTCGATAAATAGCCTGAAAATTAACGTGGAAAAATCATGAGGAAAGGTAGGTCAAACAGTAAGGTTGCATGTCACGTTAATTTTCAGGTTATTTATTGACTATCCAGGGAAAAGGATAGTTTTCGGAGCATTCTGATCTGTGAAGTATTCTTTCACACAAGTATTTTCTTATTTAAAAGTGGCAGCATGCGTTCTTCCGCTTCTGACGTCATTGATCCTAGGTTCCAAGAGCTTTGAAGCGATTTGCGCTCGAGAGAAACGCGGAGAAGCCGACGAAAAAATTCATTTTAAATTTGCCGCAAAATACGCTCCAATTTTGCCGGGAAATTCGAACGAGAGTGCTTGACGAAAATCGGGAAATACACGGTGAATTTCTCTCCACGATGCGGGCAGACCCCGTGTAAAGACCGAGAGCTCCGTCCACTCGAAATCTGCCTGAGATCGCTCCAAACGTACACGGAAGCAAGGGTCGCGTGTTGCCTATTACCACACACGATGAGAGAAGAGAGCGGCTGTTCGCACACACCCCCGCGATTTGTTGTGCCGGTTAACAAGCATCATCGTCGTCGTCGTCGTTGGTCTACTTCTCTCGCCGCTCGCTTCGCCAACCTCTCACTTGGACCTTCACCACAGAACTTTCCGCGCCCGTACAACACCCTCTCCCACCCCCTCCCACTGGAAACGCTCCCTGCCTCGACTACCCTCCCGTGCGCAGCCGGAAGTCACTCCATTCTGACACTCCGACTATAATAACCGAAGTGTCCCGAAACACTCGCGCGGTTCGCCGCCTGCGCATCGCGGGGACCTCGCCGCAACCCCTTCGGACGAGGCCGCAGGATGAGGAGGGAGACACCGGAGGGGCTCTGCAGGACAATGGAGGGGCAGAGACACTGGCGAGGCACGAGCCCGACCTGAGCTTTCGCCAGGAAAGCTTTCCTCTCCGCGCGCGCCAAATCGATCAAGTCCTGACGATGTCCCGTCATGATCCGCTTTGAGGCTCTCCTGCGGTCCTCATGTGGATAATGAGGCCGGAACGCGCGAGGATTATAACAGAGGGTGTAGCGCGTCGTCCGACGATAGGGGAGGGAAGAGGATCCCTTGATAGATCTGACGGTGATATTTTCTCGCCGGTAGTTCTGAGAGGTGGAAAGTGGACAGCTCCTTGTCAATTGAAGTTTAGTGATGTAAACAGAAAGAAAATCTTGTTCCCTTCACCCGATTTCATGTGATCTTCAATTCGATGAGAGTCTGGGAAATGTTGCGGAGAGAGCGGCGTTTGTTCGATCAAATTTTTCAGGAGAGATTTATTTCGAACGTAAGAAGCCCGTTTTTGAAAAGCGCAACACGGATTATGAAAGATGTTTTTCTTTAATAACAATACCGGGAGGAAGTTCCTAATTGCTGGACACTTTTGACATTCGTTTAAAATTTCAATAACGCGGATTAAAACGTCGCGTATCTCTTCGGGACGTCGCGACCTCGACTGGAAACTTGTCCAGAGGATTAGGACTTGTCGAGGACGAGCTTGCGCGTAGCAGAATTTTTTTCTCGGGCACAAAGCTCCCTTTCGCAATCGGCTAATCAGCCCGATGCGTTTGCCTACGTTCTCATGTAGTTTTCACTACGATTGTGCCGCGATGCAGCGGATTTATCTCGACGGAATTACGCCCGAAGAGATATATTTGCAAGCTGCGCCTTTAAGAGCATTATACTCCGCTGTCTCGGATCATATAGCGCGCGCGACATGTCGCGATTTATCGCGAATAAAGTTAAGATTCAGCGACGCAACTCGATTCCCCGTGTCCCGATTAAGCGCGCCGGCCCGAAGCCCAAGTTGTCTATTCACATACGCGACTCGCATACACATCCGGCAATAATGCGGAACTCGATTCGATGCTCCGGCGTTGTCGAAATTTCGTGATTTATATACATCGCCTCTACTCCAGCCCGCGTCTACGCGTGTCGCTCTCCTCTTTGTGCATTCTCCTCGCTCCAATTCGGCGAAGAGATTACGTGTCTTCTTGAGCCTCAAGCGATAACGCGGATTTATGTTCTCCGCCCGTTCACTCGTTCCCCAAATGAGCATTCGCGTGTCGCTATAACTGATAAATTGCGTGAAAGCCGTGAACACGCGAGCACACGAAATATGGAAAAGTATTAAAGTAAATATACCAATTTCCTGATCCTGAACATTCTTATTACTTTGGTCTTTAAATACGAACATTTCAACACAGGATGTATACATGTTCAATACTTGTATACGTATATTTTATGTCTAAGATTTAAATATTTATATTTTTCTAAGGTTTAAATATTAATATTTTTTAAGACCAAAACAATAAGAATGTTTAGGATTAGGTACATGTCTACACAGGCATTGGTATACTGAGAAAAATTTCTGTTAATAATTATCCAGCCTCTGTTATAATTACTTCATTTAGTGAAATAGTATCAACTAAACATAAGAGGTGAATATTACTATATGAAAGTTAATGTTACTACAATTTTGTAATTATTACCAAACATTTGATAACATTTACCATATTAGTTACTATTTACCAAATGGTATGGTAAAACGCATTTGGTAAATATTACAAAACTGTTTTTTCAGTATACTTTTATTTTACAGTCGCACGAGCTTTCTATTCGTACAAAGATTCGCGTCGATGAGGGAGATCGATGATCGAAAACAAAGTTAACAACAACGCGACGTATAAAATTGCACATTTTACACGCATTAGCTTCGCAAAACGTTTGTTATATTCGAATGAAGGATCAGCCAACTCGAGATTAACGAATGCAATTTTGCATTTATAATCAATCACAGCTTAAATTCCAAAATGCAATATTAAAGCTTGGAAGTTCGAAGGTCGCTCGGAAATCGAATGCGAAATGCGGGAACGCCAATGCGAATTATTGCGAGGTGGATGTGCGAGTTTTCCCAAGTCCCTTCGACGCGACGTGCACACGGAAAAATTTGCACTGCATTCAAATACATATCTCAAGTTTTTATATTTAAAGTTACATTTAAGCTGTAAGTTATATTTCATAATATCCGCAAATTTATCATCTCACTTCATCATAAATATCAAGTTTTTTAAAAATATATTCTGTATTCTAGAAAATTTAATATTTTAATCCAGAATATATTAAATTTAAAAAATTCAGTTCGCTTACTCCGTGCAATCGAATCTATTGTTTTTGTTGTTTCTTTGATAAAGTTTTATAATATTTTTGTAAAAGGGAATAAATTCTTTTCTTGAATACACAACGAGCTTTTCCAAAATTCCTGATGAGGACATCACAAGACTATTATCAAAAAAATATTTTTTGTTGAAAAGATAACTTGGAAGAAAGAAAGTAAACACAGTAATCGCGCTTTTCTTAACAGTAAAACGATGTTTTTCTGTGTGTGCGTCCACCTGAAGACGCGGAGGCTGAAGAGGCCGACGCACGCTTACGTCTTCGCGATGTCCTTTCGTCCTGCATTGGCCGCGAGACGAAAGCTCCTTGCCCCTAACCCTCAAAGGGAGTAAGGAGCGCGAGCTTGCGCCCTGAGCTGCTCGTCGAGCGGTTGTAGGCTGCGGAGAGGGATGCGCGGCGAGATGGAGAAAACGGAGCAACGTCAGGTGGGGTTGAGAGGTGAGAGGCTTTTTCGGGGGAGAACGCGTTCGTTCGCTACGGAACACGGGGCTGCGGGGTGCCGGTTGTCGCGGCGCATTGACAAGAGGGAGGCAGCACGAGCGAGAAAACAGGATAGCGAGAGCGAGGAAGAGAGTGAGAGAGGGATAGGGGGTGAGTTGGTGGCGGCGGTCCTCCGGTGGGAGAAACGGCAGACCCGGGCAGTGCAAGCCGGGTTGCCTACCCGACGATACGGTCGCTCCGGGTTAGGTCGCGGTGAACCATCCCCCTTTTTTCGCTGCAAACCAATACGGGATATCGTCTCGACGCGGGAATATCGTCTTCCATCCTGCGCCCTCCGGGCGCTCGTGGCGCGCACACCCCTTCCGGGCTCGCGAGAGGTCTTTGTCAGGGGAAAGAAGTTGGCCCGGTGCCCCGTGCCAGGACGTATCGTGGGAGCACGTGCATCCGTGCGAGAGGTAGCCGAAGAGCGCGCTCGAGGGGCTCGCGCGCACCTCTTCACTCCCTTCTTGGAAACTCGCGCTGCCGACAAGTAACAGGTTGGTGTCTCGTAGGGAAACGTCTTTAGGAGCGGTCGATCTCGCGATCGATTGTTGGAAAAGAGAAAGTGTGAAAGAGAGAGAGAGAGAGAGAGAGAGAGAGAGAGAGAG